CAGCTTCAGTGGTGACATCTCCCCTCCTGCTCTTCAGAGACCTGCACTGAGGGACAGGCAAGGTGTAAATGGCAGAGAGGCAAAAGCAACAGCTTTGGCTACTGGTAGAGTAACAAGTCACACATCCACAGGGTTATTGTGAAGAGGAGAGGGAGCTTTCTCGTGCCTTCATCTCATTTCTGTGCTCTTTCAAGTTACCCATGGCACTGCACTCCCTTTCAGAGGAGAGCTTCTCAAAGGGATTTCTCCCTGCTTTACACAGGAAGCAAGCTCACTTTAGGGATAAAAGTCCTTCAGGGAGAAGTTTGGACAGCAATCAGGTCTGGATTTTGTGTGGCTTTTGTAGCAGGTGATCTTTGCTTTTAGAGAGGGGAGTTCTCCTTGAGGGAGCAGAGACAGACCTACATGGTTTCTCTTCCCATTACCTCACTGAGCGCTGCTGTTCTCTTCACGGCCCCATGATTTCAGTGGAAACTGGAGAACTGAGTCTTGTGGCTGGGCTTTACTGGAATCTTGGAAAGCTGTCCTGTAGGTTTGTGGAGTGCTGAGTACCACTGGTGCTCACAGAGCACTCAGCACCAGGCAGGTAGAGGCCTTGCAGGCCTGTCAGGGCAGCCTGCAAATTCCAGTCTAATTTTGTCCATGAGAACTTAATACCCGTTAAGCCTAGTACACCTTCTGAGCATTAAACCCTGACACAGACGTAGCTAAGCCCAAAGGTTACCGCAGGGAGAACTGGCAGGAGTGGGTGGGTAAGTGTAGGTCACAGAAATCAGCAATTTGCTCTTTAGCTCCTCGAGTTTCCTGCTCTCCAGCAGCAGCTGCGTACCATCAGCTCAGCTGGAGCCCAGTGTGAAGGGCACGCTGGAAAGGCAAATCCCATCTTAAGGGGGTATTGAAATGCAAAATGAAAGCCATCAACACAGCAGTAAAGCCGTGGAGGAAGTTGTGATTCTTCTTTTCCTTCATTCTGTTGTTAACGAAGGTTTTGTTTTGTTTTAAAATCCTGCTTTGTGAAAGGTGCTGTGCAGAAGGAAGAAAATTTGGAGGCAGCTGATAAGGACTTGGGATGGAGGGAGACTTCACTTGAGCAAAAAGTCCTCAAATACAGCATTGAGCTTCCCTTGGGGTCCAGCCCAGGCAGCCCTCCCCACATACCCTTGGGTTTCTTACCTCTGAAAGGGGACAGAAGCTCAGATGGGTTAACTCCCTCACTCCCCAAATATCAGAGGGGGTGGTGAACAAAACAGACAGCTTCTTTTAAGATCTCTGCAGCAGCTGTTGCCCAAAAGATCCCAGACATGAGCAGCACATGCTGGGGAGGTGACTGCAGGGCTCTGCACGTGGGACAGGCTGGTTTAGAGAGGCTTGTGCCAGCAGCAGCCCATGATGCCAGGGTCAGTTCTGCACCAGCTGCTTCTTTGATGTCCATAACTGACTGTGGAGCATAGTAAATATTTTCTCCCATGTGCCTGTAGCTGTGAGACACAGAGCTGCCTTCTCTTGGGCACAGGGGCCACTGCACTGGCCTCTGTAATGAGCTGCTGAGTCTGTTCAGCTGCCAGAGGTCACCGATATCGAAGTTTTCCTCAGCTCTTCATAACTCTGTTGAGTGCCAACCAAAAGGCCTTCTCCTTACTCTTCTTTCCTTTCTTCCTTCTGTTTTCCACAGTGTTTTCCTGCACCTGATGCAGGTGGACCCTGACAGCACATGGCTGCTCCTGAACGAGGTGTGCTGCCCCGGGCCCTGCGAGCCCCCCCACCCCAGCCTGCGGCCGGTGACGCTCGGAGGGATGGGGCGGCCACGGAACGAGCTCACCAACAACGTGCTGCTCCTGCTGCAGAGGCTGCAGCAGCAGGAGAGCACAGGGCCAGGGACCAGCACACGGGAGGCATCTCCCCCCTGACAGACCCACACGGCAGCTGGGAGGGGAAAGAGGAACCACCAGGACACAGCTCACCTGGGAAAATGCCGTCATTGAGGCCCCAAGTCTTTCAGGAGCAGAGGAAGGGCTGCCCAGTCCGGGGCGCTGGCTGAGACACCTCATGGCAGAAGGTTTGGTTTGGTGTTTGAGGATGAGGTGGGTACATGACCCTGACTCCTCCTGGCTTGTACCTCTCCAGCACCATGTGCAGAGAAAACAGCACATCTATTTCAAATTCTTCAGTATGAAGAGTGAGTCATCTTCCAGAAATTACTTCCCAACCCTTGATCCTTGGGGAGTGCCCCTTCAGCACCCCCCACACCCCTCTGACCTCCTCACAGCTGTGATGATCCCTCCCATTCTCAGCTGGACAGCAACTGCCAGGTCAAAGCAAAAGCTTTTTCTTGCCTTAACCCTTTCCAAGAAGACAATGTGGTTTGGGGTGCACTAAAAACCTCTTCTTTTTAAAACCAGTTAATCTCAGACAAAGTTAAAGTGCATTTCCAATAAATTTCTCACTGATGTTACTGGCAAGAACAGCGTGTCCTCTCAGAAGCATCGGGGCTGCTCCTCACAGCTGCAGTTTGCTGAGACTGGCTGGAGACCGCTGAACGTGCTCTGCTCTGTCTCACCATCTGTGAGGTTCTGTAGAGAATCAGCCAGCCCTGATTTACACCTGGGAGTGATTTACGACTTCTCCTGTGCCCAGGTCACCTGGTTCTCTCAGGCCATTTCTAGCCCACCCACCCCCCAAGGAGAATTAGGTGAAATATCTACCCGTTCACAGGCACTGCTTTGCTTGGCTGCTCACAAACCTCACCAACTCCGGGGTCCCTCAGCTTCACCCGAGTGGCTCCTGGCAGCAGGCAGCCTCCTAACACATGAAGTTCTATGCAAGGGAAGCAAAAGGATAGATCTTGACTGTAAATTTGGGAGCAAGCTCAGAAACAAACAAAAAGCCCAAAGCAATAAATGGATTGTTACATGGAGCAGGCTTTGTGCATCAGTATTGGGGATCCTGGGTGAGCATCCAAAACATGTCTCTGCTGGGGGGCCCACCTGCCTCAGCTGAGGTTACCTCCCCTCGTCTCGCTGGTTTTATTCAGGCTTTACTCCTAGTTGCTTCTCCAGGGAAAACACAAGTCAGTGGCTTTGTACCCAGTAGGACAGGGCTGCAGGTCAGCTTTATCCTTTTTTAATATCTGTTCAGTGCTTAACGCTGGTTGGGTTCTGTACAAAGGAGCCTTCAGAGCTGGTCTGACAGGGCAGGCAGGGAGGTGAAATACTGCCTTTGGTCTCCAAGCGCCCTTGGGGCTGGTGCAGTTTTCTGGGTTGTTGTAGCACTTGATAAAATTCATCCATCAGGTGCAGATGCTGAATCCAGCCTGGCTCTGCTCGCCTCTGCAGCAGTGGGGGCTCCGAGGACCCAGCCTGCCCTCACCATCCTACAGGACAGGCACAGGATTTGAGGGCAACACTGTCCCATCACTGCCCAGTGCCCAGGAACCAGCCACATCCCCCAGCCTGGGCTCTGGCACAGCTAACTGCACTGAGACCCCCACAGAACCACAGCACCAGAGTCTCCCAGTGCTCTCCCAGAGACTTTGCCCATGGCCTCAGCGGGTGGGTGTGGGTGGCAGGAGAGGCTGGCCTGCCTGTCACACAGCCACCTGTCACAGCTCATCTCAGCTTCGTTATCGCCCCTGCTTTATTGGAGGCAGAGTAAATTGCTTTTGTCTGAAGCAGGATAATGGCCGGGAGAGAGACTGTGGAAATGGCATTTTCATGAGGCTGGTTCCTCCCCAGCAGTGACTTGCATATTTAGCTCAGCCCCTTCACAAGCCCAGGGGCTTCACTGCTGGCACCCTGCTCCCCTGGCTCACCCCATTCCAGCCACTCTCCCTGGGGAGAAGAAGCCAAGAAACCCATGTACAGCCATCTCTTCCATGCACAAACCTGGATAGGACCATGTGGGACCCCCACACCCAGGGGCACAGTCCCACGCACAGCTCCCAGCACCAGGTGCTGCTGGGCCCCACACATGGACCCAGCAGGGTCCTCTCCTCTAACACCTGCTCCCAAGACTTCATATAAGCTCAGCAAAATTAATCTCTTCTAATAAAACCTGTTATTGTTAAAGCTCACCTCCGGGTTTTACAAATCACTAGACTGTGCAGCAATTTGTTTACTCCCCTTTTGAGATGATTTGCAGCCTCCTGCCCTCCCCAGCTTGTCTCTCGCTCTTCCTTTTTCTCTGCTTGTGGACTGTGTTTTGCTGCACCAGTGACCGATGCCTCCTGATCCCTCTCCTTCCAGCAATCCCATTCCCTGACTGGGAGAAGCCAAGCACAGACCCAACCCCTTGGCTCTGCCAGCGATTGCTATGGCACAGCCACCATTATTGCTCCTGGCAAAGTGGAATTTTGCACCAGCAGCCTCTCTCCCTGCAGCACCTAAATGTTTTTCTCCTGTGCCCTTTTCTCCCCAAGGCTGCAGCTCTCTCTAGGTGGCAAAGGTGACCGTGGCTCCACAGCCCCCTGTGCCCATTCCTGCCCCTGGCACAGGCTGACACCAGCCAGCTGCTCTTACTCCTTCAGAGCACAGTGAGGAGCGAGTAACAAGCTGCAAGGGAGCTGGGGGACTTCAGGTACCTGGGGCCAGGCTGGGCATTGCCAGTGCTGGGAGCTGCTTTCCCACCAGAGAGGCAGAGCCAGGTCCCAGGGGCAGTCAGCACCCTGCTTTGGGAACCCCTGACTGATAGGCTGGAAACCCAGGCCGGTGTCAAGGATGGCAGCCCACCCAGCCACCCCCAGTTCGGAGCAACTCCAGCTCACCTGGGACCTGGGCGTGTCCTACACCCCTCAGGGCAACAGCAGCAGCTTCCTCCCGGGCTGGGTAGGAGCTCCCAGGCTGCAGCTTTTAAATGCTCCGATTCTGCAGCTGCAGGTGATCATGTTGGTGCCCGCCCCCATCGCCATCCCCATCCCAGCCCCACCAGCCCCTTTTTAGCCAAGGCAGTGCCAAAGCCGTGTCCCCTCGCCGTGCCACAGACAGAGATCACAGAGCCAGAGAGGCTTTGTTTAAAGAGCTTTATTAGCTGCAGCAGGTCTGGTGGCGGCAGGCTGGGCGGCACGGGCGGGGGGTGGCAGGGCAGCAGTGCCTGGCACCTGGGCAGGGAGGCTTGGGACCCCCCTGTCCCTCCCCACAGCTCTGTCCCCAGTGGCAGTGGACACCCGAGGGGGCACTGGGGACAGGCTCTGCCATTTGCACTGCGACACAGGAGCCCGTGAGCCAGACCCTGGCCAGGGCGACGTGGTGCCGTGGCGTGGGAGGGAGGGATGCTCAGCTGGCAGGAGGGGCCGAGAGCCTCGCCGGCACGGGCAGCGGGATGGGGGGAGGGCGGGCGGGGCTGGCGGGTGAGCCCCTCTCCTCCATCAAATGCAAAGGGCAGGAGGAGCGATGGGTGCAAGAGGCCAGCTCCGATGGCACGGCTCCCTGGGCACACACGGAGCACGGGCAGCTGCCTGGCTGAGCGATTCACGAGTGTGCCAGGAGCGTGCCAGGAGTGTGCCATGCCGTCCTTCCTCTGCTGAGCTCAGGCCTTGACGTGCTGGGGGGCTTTGGGGCAGGCAGGGGCAGGGCAGGGAGATACACACGGGCTGTAGGATGGAGGCTGGAACTTAGATAAGCACTGTGGGGCTGGAACGGAGCAACTAAACGGGGCAACCTACGGGAAAAGGCGGCTGGTTCTGCAAAGCACAAGGGAGGGCAGGGAAGGTACCGTGGGCAGGGGGGTCTCCACTGGGTGGAGAGCTCGGGCGCAGCACAGCCCACGGCACTGCGGTGGCATCAAGCAGCGGGTGCCCACCCACAGCAGGCCGTGGGGATGAGGACCAACCACGTGCGGGCACACACCCTGGCCCCGGGCACAGTCCCAGCGATGCGCCCCTGGCACGGACACAGTCCTGCTCCCGCACCAAGCCCTGGCACCGCTGCACCACAGGGCTGGGGGGAGAAACCTGCGGCGGCCTGTGGGAGAGGGAGGTGGTGGGGGGTGATGAACAAGATGGGGTGGTGGGGCCAGTCTCTGGCAGGGGGTGCGGGACCCTCGATGGCTCTGCTGAGTCCAGGGCGGAGAGGGGCTCCGGTGTCCCCCCCGCACCGCCCGCCTACAGCACACAGGACGTGTCTGCCGAGCGCTTCTTCAGCTCCCTCCCGGCTTTGTGGTGGTGGTGGTGGTGGTGTGCGTGGGCTGAGCCCGGCGCGGCGAGCTCTGCCAGCGGGGCCCCCCGCAGCTCGGTGTCCTGGGGGTGGCCCGGGCCCCCCGCTGCCTCGACCCGCAGGTACGCCTTCACCTTGTGGTGCCGCGCCTTGCCGTCGCTGGAGTCGATCACCCGGCACTCGTACGTCCCCTCGTCCTCCAGCTTCACCCGCGACAGCCGCAGCTTGTGGGAGATGTTGCTGCCGACCACCTTCACCACCTGCAGCAGGGCAGATGGCGGGTCAGGCGGTCCCCAGGACTCCCACTGCCCCCCAGACACCCGGCTCAGTGCCACCTCAGACCGTGTGCCACCATTCCACACCCCAGGCACATTCTGGGGGGGACGTGGGCAGTTGGCACAGGGGGGACCCAGCCCCAGCCCAGGCCTGCGGGATGATGGAAGCCCTGGCTCGCACCTGGCCACGCAGGGCTCGGAGATCGATGCGGAACCACGCTGGCTAATTAGCTTTTCTACCAAATTGATTCGCTCTCAGTATTTATCACCCAATGAAATTTAAGACTTACTCACTAGCCAGAGCCGTGGCTGCTCTGAGCTGGGTCAATAAATCAGATTTATAACCCGCCCCGAGGCCCCTGGCTCCGTTCCCTATAATCACACTGGATGGCAAAGGCCATTTTTCTACTCGCCGCTGCATTTGTTAGCTGAGGATTTTATGGTGTTTGGAAACGGGGCCAGAGAGAGGCAAAATCTGCCCTAAATGGCAAAGGAGGCAGTGTGGGGACCAGGAGCCCTCAGTGTCCCCACAGCCACACAACGTGAGGGCAGCCAGCACCAGCACATGCAGGCACATGCACACACCTGCTCACACATGCACACGCATGAGCACACACACTGCTGTGTTTGGCTGCCCTGCACACCATGGGCTGCTGAGAGGCAGCTGGTGCCACAGCTCATGGCCAGGGCCACCCCAAAGGGCATCTCGGGGCTGCTCAGAGCCCATGTGCAGCCACGAGTCCCAGTCCTGCATCATCAGGAGTGGGGGTCTGAACAGGACAAGGGAGGGACAGGAGCTGCCAGGTCCCGGTGCGAGCGTGCCCAGATGCTGAGGCTGTCACGGGAAAGGAGCTTCAAAAAAACCTCTTTGTTGGGAGAGCCAGAAGTCACTGAAATTAATGGCTGGGAAATTTAGAACTAATAAAATAAAACCCCAATTTGCTGGTGCCGCCAGTGGCCACGGAGCTGCTGCCCAACAGGTCACCGAGCCTCGGGAGGGAGGATTTTATGACCATCCATAACTCTCGTGGCTCCACCAGCACAGACAGAGCAGCAACGGCCCTCACTGACCATGGGAACAAGGCAGAGCCCCTGGCACGGCCAGGGTGGGCAGATGTGCTGTGCCCAGACCCAGCTCAGCCCTGTGCCGTGCAGGAAAAAAAAATAAACCCAGACCCATCGTGTTTCCCTTCTCCTCATCCCCGCAAAGTGCAGTGGCTCCAGGCAGAGCCAGTGCCTCCAGCACCAGGTGTGTTTGGTGGATAACAAATGGCCAAGGGATTCCTGGCATGGTGGCTCCTGAGTGGGATTTACATCACCCCTCACTGTTTGGTGCTGCTGCTTGTTCCCAGTCACCCACTGCCATGGCAGTACCACAAGTGCCATCAGAACCACATGTGTTCATTTACCTCCTCCATTCCGTAAACACTTCACGATCAAGGACGTTTGAAATAACAACAAACAAAAGAGGTTTGAAGCTCCAGCCTCTCCCTGCTGGCTGGATCTGGAGGAGGCAGCAGAGGCGTTGCACCTCTAGCAGTTCAAAATAAATCCCAGTCACACCCGCACACACGTCGATTCCATCCCGGTGTGCAATTAACTGCCTAATTATGCTGAGATGAGGGGGAGTGTTCACCCCAGGATGGCTCCATGCACCTGCCTTTGCTCCTGCTGCCCTGGGAGCAGGGCTGGGGTGGGACATGGGGAGCAGCACTCTGAGCCTGCAGACAGGGTCTGACAAAGCCTGGCAGAGCCCAGGCTCTGGATGCTCCAGCAGCAGCCCTGGAACTTTGTGGGGCAGCAAGCCACAGCACCCCACTAAGGGACAGATCCTTGAGGAACCTGCTGAGGTTTGGATGTGGATTGTGGGCGTGAATTGATCAAAGGGGATTCGTTACCAGCAACAGAATCACGTGCTGATCCCTGCAGATGGGCAGTGAGAGGTGATGCCCTCCGTTGGGAAAGGTTCTGGCACTGTATTCCTTGTAAAAGACTCTTGGTCATTTCCTGGGGATGAGGGACTAATCCTGGGCACCTGGACAGCCTCATCCCCCCTTGCTTGCTCTGCGAGGGAAAAATGGAATAGCCAGGAGAGGCTGGCAGGGCAGGGGTGATTGTGGGAAGCACCTTCCGACACTGCTCTGTGCCTGTGGCACCCCCAAACACAAAGCCCCCCGAGACAGGGAGAGCCAGGAGCAGATGCTGGACAGTGGAAGGCCAAGAGTGTTGTATTTAACTGATTAGTGTCTCCTCATTCTGCTCACATGAGCCTAAATGGCTTTGGGATGCTAATCCGCTGAGCCAATTGGATTATTTTATCCCTGGCATTAATGTGTCGCTCAGGTGCCGGACGGGGCTCGGGGTTCAGGCTGTGCCACTTGGTGCCAGGGAGAGTAGGTCACCCCCAGCACCAACCCAGGGCAGACCCAGCCCTCCCACCCCAGTGTTCCCAGCCTGTGGCACGGCAGCACCGGTGGGATGAGCAGAACATCCCAGTGAGCCCTCAAGTGCAGCCCCCCAAGAACCATCACCCAAACTCACGCTGATTTTGGTTGCGTCCTTCCCGGGCTCCTCTGGTGGTGATGATTTCAGCTGTGGGAGGAGGAGCATGGGGGGAGACCAGAAAGGGAAGAGAAATGGTCAGCTCAGCTGGGAGTAGGTGGGAGGCCACTGGACCCCTTCCCACCCCCAGGGTGGCTGCCCCAGGCAAGGCGGAAGAGGGAGAAGGGAGAAGGGGCTGCTCAGCCCCAGCATAGCCAGGCACCCAGGGCAGATGGAGGCACACCAGGCACTCGGGATGGGAGGAACTGGCAGCACCACAGCAGCCAGGGGGCATGGGGTGCTCACCCACCGGTCCCCAGCATCTCGGCTCCATCATCCAGGACTGGGGATGGAGCCCCCATCGCTGTGGCATCACCACTGCAGCAGTGCCCCCATCCCTGGAACCGTGTCCCCATCACTGCCAGCACCTGCCCCCATTCCTACCAATAATCCCCTTCGGCAGCCACTGGCTGGGCATTCCCAGTGCCCCCACCACCCTTGGCCCCGCCACCCTTGGCTCCTGGCAATGCTCCTCTTGGCAGCGCTGCCCCAAGGCTTCTCAATTTATGGCAACACCAGCAGCAGCTCTGCCAAAGACAGGACAATAAAGGCTCATTAAAATCCCCAAAGCCGCTTCCCATTCTTTGGCCCTTATCTCTGTGTGAACAGAGAGAGAAATAAAGAGGCGGCTGTTTGCCGGACCAATACACAGGGAAAACAGGGAAAAAAGGGAGGGATGGAAGGTGCAAGGCCAGGAGGGATGAACAGGTGATGAGGCAGGCGAAGGCACAAGCATAAAAACAAAGATTCTACCTCGGACTGGTCACGGGGATGGGCCAGGCGGCCCCTCAACTGGGAAGAGCAGCCAGGACAGCCCAGCCCCGCGGGCCTCAGAGCACCCTCAGTGCAGAGGGATGCCGTGCAGTGCAGGATCTTGCACCAAGGGAACGCCCAGGCTTCCCTCTGTCAGTGCAGAGAGGGGTGAGACCCTGCTCTGCAGGTCTGGTCAGCACTGGGAATGCTGCTGAGGTGTGGGGTCCCCCACCAAAACCCAACAGTGGCTGCAAGCAAAGCCCCTTCCCCTGGGCAAAGCGAGGAAGGGCTCTGCCTTTCTGTGCTGCTGCAGAGGGGTAGGGCGAGGGGCATTACCTGGCTGGAAGCCCACGTCTGTTTGTCCGTCCAGTCCTTGTGGTTGCGGACGTACCACCACTGGATCTCAAGGGAGTAGGAGGGGGAGCCGGTGCCGCGGAAGGAACACGCCATCTCCACATCCTCACCCGCCTGCGCCGTCATGTCGTGGGGGGTCTCAGTGAAGAGGGCTGCAGGAGACAGAGCGAGGGCTGCAGGAGACAGAGCGAGGGCTGCAGGTTCCTGCAGGGGCACACCACCCTCCCGGCAAAGGAAAATGCCTCCAGCCATGTGAGCGAGGTCTCCAGGAGTGCCTGCATCCTTCCCCAGCCAAGCAGACTCCGTCCCCTCAGCAGATCAGACAGGTCCCTGTCATCTGCAACTTCCCCTTGCCTACACCGATGATCCGTCCCCAACCCCAGCAGAACCACCTGGTCCACCCAGCCCCTGGCACTTCACAAAGAGCAGGGGGAGGAAAGGGAGGAAGCAGGAGCCTGTGGCCCCCCACTCCCACAGCGCCCCTGGGACCTCTGCCCCAGAGTGAGTGCAGGACCCCGCATGCCTCCAAGGCGTAATAAATAAATGAAGCAAAAATCGCATCTCTCTCAGATCAGGGCACAAATGAAAAACAAATCCTCGGTTAATGCAGCCCCAAACAGGCTCCCACACGCCATATGGTTTGCTTTCCTCACTCAAAACAAATATTGTTCGGAGATGTAATTAGAATTCTTTTCATCTCCTCTGGAGAGATTGTTGTTCCTCCGCACAGACGGCCCGGGCGTGCAGGGCTCCGCCGAACGCTGCTGCCACGTTCTGTGATGGCTCCTGCACGGTACAGCACCAGGACAGGGCTGCCAGCCCCCTGCATACCCCATCACTGTTGTGGCTGCAGAGGCTGCCCTGTGACTCCCGTCCTCACCCGCCACCTCATGCCGCCGGCGCTGCCAGCTCACAGTCACCGTGAGGTCCCACCGGTGCCACCAGAGCCCCCTGGGACACACAGCCTGTCGGGAGCAGCGCTCTCACCAGCCCTGATCCCTCTGAAAACCAATTATTATCAGCCCAGACGAAAAGCTAATACCTCTAATATCTCCCCGTCCCTCTGGACGCGTGGAAATCCCATCCACTTATCGCTTTCCTTTAATCCATCTCAGCAGGGAACTGAGGAAAATACCCAACACCAGGGTTTACCAGGGCTGGTTCTCCTGGTGGGGTTCCCAGTGCTGCTTCCACACCCCATTTGCCCAGGACCTGGCATCAGCAGCCATTTGGGTTCTGTGTTGGTGAGTGGAGGGAGCCGCTGCCAAAGGAACAGCTCCGGGGGCCAAGGGCTGTGGCAGGAGCAGGAGGGTATCCTTGACACAGGGCAAAGGGTTCCTCTGTGCTCCCCCCACAGTGGTGCTGAGGCTGTTGTGTCCAGTTGCTAACCAGCACTCACCCATCCATTCCCTGGCCACAGCCAGGATCAGGCTCTTGCCCCACTGGATTCCTGCTGGAAGAAGTGAAGGCCAAAGGCAGTGGGTCCAGCAGAGGCTGTGCCAGCCCCCCAGGCCCAACAGCTCCAGCAGTGGAGAGGCAGGGTGATGACCTGAGGGCTCCAGCCAGGTCCGAATTGTTCTAAACACAAAATCTGCTCCCACAGACAGCAATTCAGCAGATAAGTGAAGAAAAGGTTGGATTGAATCAAGCACATTCTTTCTTTCCCATTTTAGTTGGGAAGCATATGTATTAATTAACCCCAGGGCTCAGCCGACTTCAAGTGCATCCAGAGGAGGGCAGGTCCCATGGATGGATGACCAGGGTCATCACCTTTGCTGGGGACAGATGTCTCTCAGATGTGTCCTACAGCAGCATCGTGTGCCCTCCCCAGTGGATGCCATGGACCTCAGATGCCTGGACAGAGGTGATGGGGTGAGGACAGGACTTAATGCACTGCCTGGCCCCAGCTCTGCACTTCCACGAGGGCATGGGCAGAGGGGATCTGGACCCCACCAGGCAGACCCCAGCCACGAGTAGGTCCATGGCTGGGCGTGGACCCTGCACCAGGGTGGCCAAGCTGCCTGGACTCTGCTCCCACCAGCACCAGACAAATCACCAACGCTGGACAGTGCCCCAGCTCCTCCACCACCCCAGCCCCCTGCCCACCCAGGCCCCTCTGTCACCCAGCACTGTCCCTCTCCTCCCACTGACATTGGTGCAGCGTCCTGGTGGCGGGAGGGAGGGGGCCGTTGGGGCCCGTTGCTCCGCGCGCTTTATGGCCTGCTACCTGTCATAAACTGAGCACACCAGGATCGATAAATCTTCCAGAAAACAAAAATCAGGGGAAATAAAATGAACTCAATGGGGAAACACAGATAAACAGAATTGAAAACGCCTGCTGGGACAGCTTGGTGCTCTCATAAACCGGAGACAGACAGGCTGTGTGCTCCCTCCCTGCGGCGGCACCAGCCCTCACCGCAGCCCCGCTCCGCACGGAGGGGTCTGTGGGCAGCAGGGATGGGGCAGCCCCCACCTGCCCTGTGCTGGGGCAAGGGCAGGTCGTGCATCACACCAAGTACCTGGAAATGACCCACAGACCCCAGTTCCCATGGCCCCCCACCACAGCCCCCACAGGGTACCAAGGACACCCACGGTGGGCATGCACTCGGGCTACAAACATGTACTGGAGGGCAATTAAATATGCATTGGGCATTTGCAAACACCTGTTAATCACCCGGTCAGCATAGGTGCCTGGTCCAGGAGGGATTTTTCCCCTAAGCCATGGCAGTGCCAGGTAGTTGGAAGCCTCTTTCTCTGCCCAACAGAGCTGGAGCCTCTCACCAGAGCCACAGCTGGGCTGGTAGGGTGGCACACGCCAGGCAAACAGCGGGGCTGGGGTCTTGCTCTGTCCCATGCTGGGCACAGACAGAGGCTGGGGGAGCTGAGGAGCCCCTCTGCACCCGCTCCTGCCCACTGGCATGTCCATCCAAACCCTGCCCTGCATCCCTGGCACAGGGCCGGCTCGGTTTGAGCTCCACCACTGCAGGAAAAACAAACGTGCCCGACAGCATCCACCCCTGCTGGCACCCTCCCCAGGCACCCACAACTCCTCCAGCACCTTCCCCTCCCCAGGCATCCCTGACCCGTGTGGCTGATGGAGTGACAGCTCCGGCTGCAGCAGCACCGTGTCCTGCTGGCAGCAAAGGCACCCGAGGCACATCCTGGCACACACACTGAGCGGGGACCCAGAGGGGGACGGATCCTCTTGGGACTCCCCACCCCTTGTTGTGGGCTGCCTGAGCAGGACACACCCTGGGAGATCAGGAGGCACAGAAGGCTCCTTCCGGACGGATCCAGGAGCAGAGGCCTGGGCGCTACCCCAGTGCACTGGCCGTGTGACCCACACTGTCCCCACTGCAGGGACACCGGGTCTGCCGGCGGCTGCTGCGCAAGTCGGGCTAGAGCCTCCCTCCCCTTCCCACCACCGCTAACAGCTGTGGATGCATCTCCTCCTGACAAGCCTGCGAGCAGGGATGCTGACCCCAGGGCGCCGAAAACACATCACGGTGCAAACCGCTGCATAAACACGGCGTGACGGCGGCACTGGTGAGAGAGGGCAGGTGGCTCTGGCTCCGGCCGCTGAGCCGGGCAGAGGGCTTGGGCAGCAAGCACTGCTCCCCTCCAGCCATCCAGCCATCTCCCTTCCCACGGGACACGTCAGGCTGGAGTGTTGTGGCCATGGCCGGGAGGCTCCCGCCACACGCTGGGGATGGCAGCGCCCATTGCTCTGCCCCTACTTACTGTCACATTAGCAGCAGAAGGAGCTCAAATTTGCAGCATGAATTAAAAACAAAAAAATATCCAGCTAATTCAGTGAGACTGCGATCAGGCCAGCACTCACCTCACCGGGAAGATGGAATTAACCTTGAAACCTGCAGGTATTTCCAGCAGTGCTCCGTCGTGTTTGGATGCTCCAGCTCCTGCCCCCAGTACATCCTGCTGCCCTAATGTTTAACCACCACAGGGAGAGATGCCAGTGGTGAGTCCCCCCAGCTTGGCCCTGGGTACACAAAGCTTTACCCAGGCAAGGGGACTCACTGCTCCTGGCTGGTTCCTGAGGAGTCGCAGTTCTCAGACAATTCCCTCCCAAGGGGCACAAGGAAGAGCTGTTATTTGATAGCATAAGTACCAAAGTCCTAAAATGGCCTTTTTTATAGCTCCCAGTGGGACCCCAGCAGCATGTGCAGCCATCCTGCAGCCACCACTCGCTCTGGTGCTGCTCTCTGCCAGCGGATGGTTCCCAGCAGGCAGGAGCTGGGATGGGGCAGACAGGAGCTTTGCTCTGCTCAAGATCAGCTCCCTGGTGTCACACCCAGCACCCAAAACATGAGCCACCAGCACTGGCAGCCACTGCTGAGAACTGCCCACACCACACACGATGCTGGTACCATCCCACAGAGCCGGCAGCGACCGGTGCTCACGGACACGGCCCCCTCCTGCCCAGCTCTGCTGTATCCATCACTGGTGGGCTCATCCCAGTCCAGTTCCACATGGAGCACACGCTACAAGGCACCAATTCACCCAACACAACTGAGCTCAGCTGACACCCCTGGTGCCCAGTTGGGCACCCACTGCAGATGGAGCTGTAGGGAGCGGGCAGCCAGGCAGGAAAGAAGCCTGCAGGAGGGGAAGTGGCCATGGAGAAAAGGAGCTCAGAGAGAGCCAGAGCCATCAGCAATGGGGCCAGGAAGGGCTGTCTGTCCTGAGGCTCATGAGTCCCACTCAGACAGTGAACCAAAATCCCAGAGGAGCTATGAAGGGGAGAGCACTCACCAGGTCCCCGCCTGGGTGCCTGCCCGGCCTCTGATGAAGAGGGGAGCAGCAGAGATCATCCAGCTCCTTGGACCCCTCCAGGTCCTTGCTCCAGCCCTGCCGTGCTGCCCACAGCTCCCAGACCATACACAGCCGTGCCGGCTGCTGGTTTGATTCCCTCCTCGCTCACGGGGAACGTTATGATTAAAATTAGCTGTCACTGTCCTAACGTAATAATTCCCAGTGTCTGGCCCATCGTCTGTCAGCCGCTTCAAGGGAAGAGAAAGCCCAGACGTTTGATGAGGAGAGGTGTCAGATGTAATTGCATTGAATGACTGCACGAACAGCAGCAGGAAAAACACATCGGGTGGAGAATTCCCATCAGGAAGTGTGAAAAAATCCGGCAGAATGCAAAGTGTTTATGAAAGTAATTGATAGAATAATCACCAGGGTGTGCGGGAACGGAGCAGAGCAGCGCCCTGGGGAGCCGGGGCCCCGCTCCCTCCAGCCTCCAGCCGCGGCTCTGCTGACGGTGAGGAGGTACCGCCTGCGCACGATGCCGGGAAGGAGACGGGCTTGTCCTCCTCACCGCACCTCTCCCCTGCCCCGCTCCGGAGCCAGCAGGCTGGGAAGGCGGCTGGAGCTTCCCAGCCAGCGCGTGTGAAAGCCGATGGCAGCAGCCCAGCGTGCACAGGCTGCAATGGGGGGCATGAATAATTGAAGGCGCCAGCCTGAGGAGAGGAGAGAGGGGGGAGAGGCAGCGCTGTGGGTAGGGGAGGGATGGCGGGAGGGATCCTGCGGCTCAGGCGCTCTCCCAGGGCAGATGGAGCCCATCCTGGCTCTATCTTTGCCCAAGGCAGAGCCTTTGCTGTGGGGGCAGGGAGAGGACTTTATCTGACTGCGACTTTTCCCTCCTCACAGCCCTGGCTGCCCTGCGAGCAGAGCCTCGCTGCCCACTGTGGGGCGGCAGGATGGGGGAGCTGCCCGTGCCCCGGGAGTGCTCAGGGTCACCCGCCCATGCCTGCGGAGCACATGCTGCTCCCGGTCAATTCCCTCGCCGTGAACAAGTTAAAAGGAAGAGCGAAGCCACTCCCGGGCTGTGCCAGAGCCTCGCGACGCTGTGGAGGCTCCTCCAGGCCGCCAGCCCCGGGCAGAGATGGCAGCGACTCCGGGCACTGCCTGCTGTGGGCAAAGCCCGGCAGGACCTGCCCGACCCCACCAGCCACAGCCGAACCCATCCCACCGGCCCTGCCTCCTCTCCCGCTCCACGTCCCCGACCTGCCGGACTCTTCACGGTGCGGAGGGAAAGCTGTAGCAGCCTGTAATGAAATGATCAATCTCCGATCTGCTAAACAGCGATTTATACAGGTTTTCAGCACACACGGCTTTTATCAAATTGGTATTCACCTACTGAACACAAATGGCTTATTATACATGACCCACTTATTCACTGCTTTTCAGTATCGTTAATAAAGGTTTCTGTTGTGATTAAGTGAGTTGCTGCAGAACTGCTCGAGTAGCAAGCTGTAATGTGGCTCCAAAGTGCACTCACCCTCCCAGAATATTTCTTCTCCTTGGCTCCCTGCTCCCTCACAGCGACCATTTCACTATTTATTTGCCTATTGCTGAATTTCTGAGGGGAGCAGCGGCGGCTAATGGAGGCTCTTCACCCACCTCTCCTTCTGGCATGCCAGGCTAGTAGGTCTGGAAACTCTCCCGCAATGATCCCCCCACAATGCAGAGGCTGATCACCCCTTCCCTGGGCAGGCAGGTACCTGCTGGCCCACACACTGCACCGCCGGGAGATATCACAAACGACGGGACACCTCACACCTTCCCCCTGGCACGGCCCGAGGCGCTGCGAGCCTGGAGGCTCCTTGGGGCAGAGAGTGGATCCCTCTGCATGCCGGAGGCTCCGGAGCTGGGCGAGGGGAAGAGCTGGGACCCCGAGCACCCAGCACGCTCCCGTGGTCACTCCTCGGGCTCATATTTCACCCTGCTCGTGTCACCCCAACAGAGAGCGAGGAGGGTCTCGGCAGCCTTCTCTGAGGGGGCTCTGTCCCCTATCCCCTTCTCGGCACCCACAGGGAAACTGCCCCCACGCCAGGACAGGTTCGTCACCGGAGAGCGCAGGATGCAGAGCAGGTTCTCCTTCCCCAGCCCCGGTGGGTCCGAGCGGACCCGGCAGCACCGACTCGCGGAGCCACCGCGCACCGGAGCGGGCGGAGGAGCGGGAGGCGGCGGAGCAGCCCCGGTGCCGGGGCGTGGGGCACCGCACCGCGGGGCGGGCGGCGGCGGCGGGCGGCGCGCCGGGAGGCACCGGGAGGCACACGGACACCGGGTGCAGACGGCAGCGGGCACCGGGAGGCTCACGGACAAGGGGTGCGGGCGGTGGCGGCATCGGGAGGCTCACGGACACGGGAGGCGGGTGGCGGCGGGCACCGGGACGCACCGCGCAGAGCCCCCGACTCGTCAGCGAAGCGGTGGAGGCAGAGGCCGCCCCCCGGGCCCCGGGGACGGGAGCGGCGAAGCCCAGCCCCGGCTCGCCCCGGCCGCCCCCCGCTCCTCGGCGCCGCCGGCGCGACGGACCGCGACGCGGGGCTGCCCGCGGCGGCGGAGCCCGACCGGGACCCCCCAACCCCCCGCACCCGTCCCGCTGCCCGGGCAAGGACCGCCCCGACCCGCCGCTAACCCCGCGGGGCACCGAGCCCCGGGAGCGCCCCCCACGCAGCCGCCCCCCGCCCGAGCCCCGGCCGCCGCCGCCGCCTCACCGCTGCCCGTCGCCGGGGCGTCCCACGGGGGGTGCCGGGAGGCGGCGCCGAGCTGCAGGTAGAGCCCCAGGTAGTGGAAAATCCCCAGGGCCAGGGCCAGGGCGCCCATCTTGCCGCGGGCGCGTCCGTCCCGGGGGCGGCGGCGCCGCCGGGCCGAGCCCTGTCCCCGGGGCTGCGCCGCGGTCCCGGCGCCGCCGCGCTGCGGAGCTCTTCCCTCGCGCGGAGGGCGCCGCGCGCCGAGGCGGTGCCGCGGCTCGCCCGGAGCCTCCCCCGCCCGGCGGAGGGATCCCGGCCCGCGCGCACCCCCCAAGTTTTTTTCCCACGGTTCATTCTTAAACTGCGCGGGGCGGGGCCGCGCCCGCCGCGCCCACGCGGGACCCCCCGGACCCCCGCACTGCCCCCCCCGGGACCCCCGGCACCGCTGCGACCAACTCAGCCCGCACCTCCTGGACCCTCCGCACCGCCCCGGCAGCGCCGGCACTCCCCGGCACCACGGCACCCGCGAGTCCCACCCGGGGAAGGGGGTGTTTCCCCGCGACCCCCGGCGGTCGTGGGTCCGCTCCCCGCAGGGCAAGACCCCCGGGCACCGCCGGTCTCGGCGGGAGCGGCTTCAGCACCCGGGACAGCGCCCGGCGTTGCACGGGGCTCCGCCCGACCAACCCGGTACGGCACAGCCCGGTGTGGTACGGCCCGGTACGGCTCAGCCCAGTACGGTCCAGCACATCCCGGCACGGCCCCAGCGCCTGCAGACGCAGTGCCGGGGGTGCGGTGCCCGGCGGGTTCGGTGCCCGGGGCTCCGGCTGCGCTGACTGTGGCCGGGGCCCGTCTGGGGGCGGTTTGAGGGGTCTTTAAACGTTAAGGAAAGAGCAAGAGCAAGATCCCCACGTGTATCCCCAGACCGTGCAAGATTTGTCTCGAAATGAAAACCTGGGGCCGGGGTGGGTGCAGGCTCACACACAGGACAGCGTGGCCGGTGGCAGCAGCCAGGCAGGGATCCCCCACTCCAGAGAGGGCTGGAACAACCACCCTGCTCCTGCCATGAGCAGCATTTCATGGAATGGGCAAGATTCCAGTCTTCCTTTGACTCCACAAATCTCGAGGCCAAACCCCCCGACAGCACCACTCTCTGCACCTCGCAGTGGGTCACAGCCACAGCACCGGCACCTGTGCAGCTCACACACCTCTTCTGAACAGCCTGAAAATGCCCTGAGGGACCTGGTGGTGCCACTTCCCTCTCCTACGCACCGGCCCCAGCACTGGGGGAGGCACAGGGCAGACATCACTCACACGAGAGTATCTGTTCACGCCAGAGCAATATGAAGGATATTTGCTATCTAGATAAACAGTAAAAATCAGATTCTTTCAGGTGTTTTCTGCCACGAGATGACAGATGTTTGCTACAAAGAGATTCTTTAAATTGGATTTGAAAATACTGACTGTATTTCCTTGCCCTTCCCTCGACAGGGCTCCAGCAGAAGGAGTGGGGGTGTTCTTCCCATTCCCCCCAGCAAGGCAGGTCCCTGGGCAGGAGCTGAGCTGCCTCGTACCAGTGTTACTAATCAATAATTTAAAAAAAAGTTGTACCCGCTGCAGCGTTTGCCGCATGTCAGAATAAAGCCCAGCTCAGAGCAGAGCATTGATCTCTGCCCAAGTTCATTACTCCCTCTGGAGTTAAAAGCTGAGGGAAGGAGGGAGTGGCAGTGACAGACAAATGGGCGCCATGGCCATGACTGGGTTTGGAGGGTTCTGTAGCCAGTTGGATTCAGAGGATCCGTGACCAGCTGGATTCAGAGGGTCCCACTCTGGGCAGGTGACAGCAGCAGTGGCAAAGGGTTCCAAACTTCCTGAGGGAAAACTGCCTGGGGCTGCCTCAGGAAGCGACTCTGGGCTCGATCCTGACAAAGCAAAAGCATCAGATCCCCCAGAGGCTTGCATGGAGGCAGAACCCATGCACCAAAATAGAGGGATCATGTTCCAAAAGATGGGGCTCATGCACTGAAAGATGGGGCTCATGCACAGAGTCAAGTGCAACAGGAGAAGCAGCAAAGGCCAAGTGCTCGTGTGCCCCACATTTTGGGTGACCGATCCAGTCTCGTGGCTGATGCCTGGTCCAGGGACCATCCTCTGCCACAGGCCAGCGAGGGGACACAAACAATCCCACACTGAAACAGCAGCCACAAACTGTGCCCCCTAGACCTGGCACCCCACTTTGCAAAGCATCCCACAGGCACAGCCAGAGCAGAAGCTGGAGGCATCACCCAGTAGGGATGGGGCATCCCGGGCATGGGCAGGGGTGCCCTGCCCCAGCCCAGCTCCTGCACCCCCAACACAAGGGTGGCACAGCCCCCACTCGGGAGCCGAGGCTGCGCAGCTGCACCTCCAGGGCTGAAACCTGCACGGGCACCATCAGAGACATTTAAATCATGCCAGGAGGAAGCAAAGAGCATAAATTCCTCCTGGAGCCGGGAACACCTCTAGAGGCAGAGCCTGAATTAAGCCCCATTTCCAGCTGATTTTCTGCCACCGCAGCAGATGACAAACGGGCACTGGGGCTGTGCAGAGCCCGGTGGATGGGGAAGAGTTGGTGCCTGCACGTCTCAAGCGTGCTGTGGAAGGTTTGTTTCATTTTCCTCCTCAGTTTTAATCTACCAGTGAAGAGGCCCCAGGCAGATGCTGCCTGTGGGTGCAGCCACGCAGCCCCAGTGAACCCTGGTGAGTCTGACAGGGATATGGGGGGAGGCTGCTCACACACAGCAGCAGGAGCAGAGACGTGGCACCCACTGTGTAACGAGGTCCCTTATCTGCACACTTGTTATTGCTCTGAACAGCCGGCACCTCCCTCACAGGGCTCCTGTTCCAGCAGAACAGGCCCAGGGACTCACTCTCGAGGATGAAACGCTCCTTATCTCTGCCAGTGCCAGGTTCCTACCCAGCACTCAGCTCTGCTCAGGGGGGCACTTGGCAGATGGGGGAATCCAGTGGCTGATTCCGTGCAGTGGCACCACAAAGATCCCAGGGGCACTGCATCCCCCATGATCACAGCTCATGTGCTCACGAGGTTCATGTGTGTGCTTCTTGGGACAACTGTCCATGGGGCAAAGGCAACCTGAGGAGCTGGAGGGTGCAGTGGAGGTCAGAAGAACAGGATGAGGTTGGGAAGGGGTAGGGGCTCAGCCAGATCAGCAGCACCTCACAGGGCACCAGCTCCAGGAGGACCCAGACCCTGTGGGGCAGTTGGGAGGACCTGCTCACTGGGGCTCAGGGACTGTCCCCCCTGGACATGGCCCCAGCCTGGCACTGCCCAAGGACACCCAGAATGAAAGCAAGAGGGTTGGTCCCTTAACCCTGGCTCCCAATGGCTGCTCATGCTCTTTCTGATGCCACACCTCAGCAGCAAGAGCTGCCCAGCAACTGGAAGGAAAAAAACCCAAACCCAAACCCCAGAGCTGCCGAAGCACTGGGGGCTGCCTCGTACATTATTTTGAAATTCACCTCTTTAAGGGTTCGTGTGGGGGCACCCCGAGGCTCAGCACTGAGCTCTCCTGAGGTCCAGGAACCAACACTCAAATCTGCTTCTGCCTGGGAGAGTGAATTGGGTTGTTCATCTCTCTGACGGGCAGAATAAACACCCTCCACATTGATACCAAGCTCATTTCTGATACTTGTTTAGAGACTTGACAATTCCTGTATAAAAGGATTTCCTTCCACAGCTGAAGTTTGACATTCCTGCGTTATTAGATTATTTGCAAAGGTCTGCGTGCGCTGCAGGAAAACAATGCTCCCGCCAGGCAACATTAGAGCCTGCTCCTCCACAAATCATCCCGGGCGCAGCCAGCCACGCAGACAGAGCCTGTCTGCATCCTCCAGTGCAGGAAGCAGCCGGGGAGGCAGCGGGCAGGAACTCAGGTGAGAAAACACAACCCACCAAACCCCTCCACGGGAGCCACAACAGCATCAAAAAATAAAGAGACCGAGCAGGAGAGTGTCTTGGGGAGAGGGATCAGTGCTCCAGACACACCAGCACCACCACGGGCTCCTTGTGCCACTGCCAGCACAGCCCTTCCCAGAGCCACGACCTGGCTGGGAGAGGAGTGGGAGCATCCCTGGGGCAGGGACACACAGCATCTGCACCCCCCTGCCTGGTTTGGAGGGGTCACAGCCCTGCACTCCAGCACCCACCCCAGGGAGCCCCGGAGGTCCCAGCGCAATGTGGGGAAGGCAGCAGGAACCCCCACAGCATGTGGAGGCTTTGGGAGTCAAAGGCTCCTGTGCCCAGAGCAGCCCCCACACAGGGAAGTCTCTAAAGCATAAAATTCAGAGGAAAATGACTTGAAAAGAATTATTTCTTCAGAGAACAACTCAGGCCCGTTTCCAGACCATTAACTCCTTCCTCTGCAGAACCCACTGCCAGGTTCCCGATGGAGAGGAGCACCATCACAGGTGTCTGTCATTGTGGAACAGTTCCCTCTTTCCAAACCATTAAGCACCAAAAAAATGAAATGTAAAAAACTATCAAATGCCCAAACCAACCAGCCCTTCCCCCTCCAGACAATTTCCTGCCCCAGGAGAAAAGCTTTCCCCGAGAGCCAGGCCTTAAAGGAAAAAAATATTTAAAAAAAAAAAAGAAAAAAATCAATAGTGTAAGTGACTTATTTCGCTGCTGACGGGTTGTTGCCAGCACTGACAGCCTCTCGCTGTATTTAGCGCAGCCTCGGTCTCTCCACTGGGATATCAGGAGATGTTCCTCAGCCATGATTTACACTCATTTTTTCCCGTTTAGGGAGGCTCAGTCGGGAGCGGAGCTGAAGATGGATTTGGACACACAGCGAGGGTGGTGCCTGTCTCCCATGGCCAGGGGGAAGTGCCATCAGCTCCTGCTGTTCCCAGCAGGAGGAAAACAGCGCTCCTGCCGCTGGGATCAACACCCTCCCGATGCCAGCACCAGGGCTCCCACCCCATCGCCCACCACGGGACTGGTGTCACCATCCCTCTTGCTCCCCCTTCCCACAGTGGATCCCCCAGGACTTGCCCCAGCCGATCCCAACCCGGCCTCAGTCCGACCAAACCCCAAACTCCATCTGCATGGAGGAGAGGAATGGCCCCACAGACTGTGGACATCATCTCCACCATCCCTTGCTGCTTTCCTCTTTTAAATCCTGTTCTCGTGCTCAGCAGCCTCGTCCATCCTTTTCCAAACCTGGGA